CCAGCGCCCCCTGCTTGTGTCAGTTATTAAAATTCACCATAAAAAAAAAAAAAAAAAAAAAGTGGGAGTAGGGTTTTAACCACAACACAAAACGTAGATCCTCCTAGCTGTAGGAGGGCGGGCTGTCCTGTACTAGTGTCTGCTTGGGCTCCTGCCCACTGCAGGAGCTCAGGCCCCGGGAGTGCCAGCCTGGCCCATAAGGGGGGTGCTGCCCTCCTGAAGGTCGACTGGAGTCTGGCTGGTGTGGACCACGACAATCTTCTCATCCACGATCTCACAGGTGGGGTTGGTGAAGGCAGACAAGGGCACGGTGATTCGCTGCATTTCCCTCTCACACACTTTCTGCTCATGCTGCTCTTTCAAATCCTTCCCCCTGGCAGGAAAAAAGGGAAGTATTCAGGCTGTGCCTCTTGCATGGCTTTGCTCATTAGACAGCATCCCAGAAGCCCGTACAGGAGCAGGTGCTCACCATGGTCACAGTGAATCAGTGGCTGAGACAGGACTCGAACCCAGGTGCAGGACACTAGATTTCCATTCCGCTAGACTGCCTTAAACTCAACAAGGAGCTCTTGCATCTCCTGTCTGCTTTCCCCTCTGTAAAGTGGGGTTGATAGCGGTATGAAACCTCACACAGCTACAGTGGGGCTCAATGGAAATAATGTAGAGAAAAGAAACTTAAAGCAAGATATAGTCTTATTCTTTCAGCTCAGGGCTCCAAGAGACCCAGAGAACTACCCCAGCTTTGGTCCTAACCCAGAAAACCCAAAAAGTTATCCAGAAAATTGACCTGACCATCCTCCTCTGAGACAGCCTTCTTATCTTAAAGTCCCAAAAGGTGTGAGCCCAAGCTGTAAATGGACCATCCCTAATCAATGCAGGGGGAAAAAAAGGACTCAAAAAGGCTGCTCAGGTCAATGGGAAACAGTGGTACAATCACCAGAGACCTCTCGGATTTTTCACGTGCCTGTGAGTTCTCATGGTGCTCAGTGACCCAGTGAGGTCATGGTGTTACTCCAGTTTACTCATGTGGAGTGCTCACTCCATGCCAAGGGCTTTATTTACATTATCTCACTTCATTCTCAGCTCAACCCTAAGAATTAGGTCTTATTTTACACATGAGAAGTTAAGGAACTCTTCAAGGATGTGGTGGGCTTAAACCCAAATCTGGGGTTGGCCCGTGACTCACTCGGGAGAGTGTGGTGCTGATAACACCAAGGCCACGTGTTTGGATCCCATATAGGGATGGCCGGTTCGCTCACTTTGGAGAACACAGTGCTGACAACACCAAGTCAGGGGTTAAGATCCCCTTATCGGTCATCTTAAAAAAAAAACAACCACAAATCTGTTGTACTCTGGCTGATTGATGCTCAGAGAAGTTCTAGCCTGACCAAGAAGTTCTAGTTCACCCCACAAAAAATTCTGGGGCAGCAACTCAAACCCAGTCTTCTGACCACACATTTAGGGCCCTTCCCAATGGACAATCGTAGCCCACACTGCTGGCCAGAGGGCTTGGTCACTGCACACCAGAACCGGCACCCAAGACCCAGGTCAACATCCAAAATCTAGACACTTGGGCTCAGCCATCAGAGGAAATTTTCCTGGAAGGAGCCTTGAAACGAGCAGCTGATGGATGACTTGGTGAAACACAGAGGCCTGCTTCAGATCTCAGGGATATGGCCGAGATCAGATGGATTACACATCAATCATGATATGAAGTGCAATGACAAAAGCTTCTGGAGACGGGGCAAGAATACTGGGAAAATGGGGGGGCTGGAGGAGGAGGAGTGTACACAGGTGCCTCTGACTATCTTTAAATCATCCAGTTCTCTGGTGTTCTAGTACCAGCTCAGCCTAAGCTGTGTGACACCTGGCAAAACAGCCTCTCTGATCCTTGGTTTCCTCATCTGTGAAACAGCAATAATATCTGCCTCTGAATAAGGTATGAATGTGAAAGCATTTTGAAAACAGTAAAACTGCCGTAAAAACTCATAGGTGGGTCTTGCCAGTTAGCTTAGTTGGTTAGAGCATGGTGCTGATAACACCAAGGTTTGGGGTTCCATCCCTGTACTGGTTGGCCTCCCCCTCAAAAAAACAAAAAAACTTCATAGGAAGTTATTATGATTTTCCCTGGACATAACTTCATTCACCAAGCAATGTTAATTTGGTTTCCCAAGGAAACTCTCCTACTGACCAGCCAAGGCAAGTATTATTCATGTGACCTCAGTAACCCCTTCCTCTCTGGGCCTTAATTTCATCACCTGTAAAACAAGGGGTTGGACTTGATAATCTCCAGGCCCCCTAACATTCTGTAAGATTCCTCACATAAGATATGTTCTCCCTTTTTTTTCTTCTTTTTTTTTTTTTTGGGTGGCTGGCTGGCCAGTATAGGGATCTGAACCCTTGACCTTGCTGTTTTAAGCACCGATTCTCTATTTCTCACTGTAAGATCACAGGAGGCAAATTCCTGAGCTCATCCTCCTGAGTCACCCTGATGACTGAGTTTCTGAATGTACAGGCCTGAGGCTCCTGCCCCATTATTCTCATTGCCTCTGCCCTGGACACCACCAACTCCCACAGCAGAAAAACTCCCAGAGCACTCAGAAGAGAAATGTAGAGACATTGTTCATGGGGAGAGGGTTCCAAGTGCTCCTTCACTCACATCCTGAGATTTACTACCCTTGAGCACTGTTCATCAGTTACAGCTGCCACCACACAGAAGGAAACACCTCCATAATAAAGCAAAGCCAAATTCCTCAAAGTTGCCCATGTACAGGGAAACCTGGAAGGTCTGGAATTAATTTTATTAAGGGAGCCCCCAAGCCAGTGGAAGACCAAAAGGCAATTTATAGAAGTATGTGAGTGTCTTTTGCCAAGGTCTGAATTTCAAAATCTAGGGGCTGGAGGGAAAGCCAGGAACCTACTACCAGTACCTACTAAGGTATTCGGGAAATGGCCTTCCTATCATTGATGAAGAGAAGAGCTACCTATATACCTACTGGGTGCCATATATTCATGATCTTTTAATTTACAACCTTGCAAGGTAATATTATCCCAGTTTTATAGATGAAGAAACAGGCTTTGGAGTCTGACTCCAGAGCCCTACTTTCTATAGCTACCTCTTTTACTAAGCTGTGGCCAGCTGGGCTGTTGATAATGGCCAGGCTGCATCATACACAAGTCTTTAGGGGTGGAAATTAGTTCATATTAATGGGGCAAAGCAGGGCTAGAAGAGCAGCCAAGGGTAAAGGAAGCAAATGTTAGGGCTAGTCTGGATTAGTCTCATCCATTTAGAAGCCTCGAAGCACACCCAACCCCATGTGCCTGCTGTTGATGGTGCCTGCGAGTCCTCGAGATGTAGTGGCTGTCCCCAGCTCCCTCAGGAGGTTTGAGAGAGGCCACCAGGCCGGCTGCACTGGCCATCAGGAAGCCCAGCCATCTCTCACTGACTGGGGGGTTGCAGGGGGGGCGGAGCTGGGTAGCTGGCAGCCAAGAAAGAACAAAAGTCTTATTCACTGACTCAGCTCCTCTTCTAAGGGAGTGGAGTGGTGTTGACTTAACAGTTTTTCCCTCCCCATTTTATCAGAAAATAAGGGCTCCCTCCAGAGCTAGCACAGACACTGCTCTTGGAGCAGGGACAGGGCACTGCTCAGTTGCAGACTAGCCATCTGAACCTCATGGCCTAGACTACCAGGACAAAGATCAAGCCAGAATGAGTCCCCACCTGCCCCCATCTCCCACTCTTCCTCCCTTGAGAGGAAGCCTGGTGCCTGCCCACCCTTCCCAGCTAGGGGAATGCTCTGTCCCATTAGCTAAGCCTCACGGCCTGTGGCAAAGTCCAAGGCTGGCAGTAATTACCCTGACTGCTCCAGGGCAGGGATCAGGAGCTGGGCTGGCCAGAGAGAGCAGGTGTGGATGGAGCTGCTGCCTGCCTCTGACTTTCTCTCCTGGGGTGATAGAAGCACTGCAGATCTCCTTTAGGCCACAGATTTCTTCAATTGTTACTCTGAGCCACTGCCATCTTCCCAGTCAGAAGCTGTGCCACACTGCTGCTCAGGCAAAGTTCCCCAAGGTAGCTACAGGTTATGAACACCAACTGTATGCCCAAACTACACTAATTTCATCCTTACAACAAACCTATATGGTGTCTACTATTATCTCCGTTTCAGAGATGGGAAGGCAGATACAGAGAGGTTAAATCATTTGTTCAAGCAAATGGCAGAGTGGGGATTTGAACCCAGTACTGCCTGTAGCCACCACCAGGCAATATTGTCTTTTTAGGAAGTATTAGAGCTGGGTGGATCATCATTTCTAACTCTCTACCCCTACATTATTTTACAGCTAAGGAAACAGGCCCAGAGAAAGTAAATAACTCATCCAGTGTTGCATCCAGAATTGGTGGCAGTTCCTGAACTAGATCTTGGTCCTTTTGACTTCTAAACCCAGACTTTTTTTTTTTTTTTTTTTAAGTTTCTATTTTTCCTACTGTCCTTTGCAATTCAAAGCAAATTTACATGAGGCTACTGTGCCTTACTGGGTTTTTTTTAGAGATATTGATAATCCTTAGATATACCTTACTAGCTATATAGCTTAGACATGGTACTTAACTCTTCTAGGTCTCATCCTCACTGTGAAAGTGTAATAATGCTCCTAGTGTGGTCGTGAGATCATCAAGGAAGACTATACAGTAGGGCCTTACTTACTAAGAAAGCATGAAATAAATACTGGCTACTATTGTTTTTATTACCTGATTGGTGATCTACTGTTTACGTTTAATACTTAGCTAATCTTGGTAGGTGGGTGTTGGGGAGATATGTATCCCCATTTAACAGACAACATACCGGGGTTCAGAGGACACTTGAACTTATAGTCAACTTCTAGTTTTTTCCAGGACACTCTGTTCTCTGAACAGAGATGGTAGCTGAGAGCTTGTCTCTAGCCCACATGCGGTTTCCTGTTGTACAGTCTGTTCTCAGAGCAATTTTGTTGAGGAAAGGGGCGGTCCGATGGTTAGTGACAGGGAGTCTTGAGACTCTGTGCCTTGCTCTGAGTTTACAAGAAAGTAAATTCTAGACCTCAGGGAAGTCCCGTGATGGCCTAAGGGATCAAATCTAGAAGAAAAAGACCTGGCTTCCTCACTGGGGACCAGAACTGAGCTCAGAATTAAGAATGTTTAGTCAATTCAAACACCGGGAATGCCTGGAAACTCTCACAAGACTGGAGAAGAGCCAAATGCTGTTCAGTGGCTGAGGAAGGAGGAAATATATTTCAAGGGCTAAACTCAGCCAACACAATTTGAGTCTGACTATAAATTGTACGGCCAGTGGCACTACATCATTTCCTCTAACTTTCTGAAATGAACAAGCAGGTGTCCCTGGACCTGCTGTATCAATATTCCACTGTGGACAACGACCACAGACTGGAAGTCAGGATGCCCTCTCAAGTTAATACTTCCCCTCTGTGGACCTGTGCTTCCTGACTCACAGAAAATCAGAGAAGAAATGGGGCTTGGAGAATACTAGTCCAGCACCCACATTTTATAAAAAAGAAAAACAGTTATTGTTTACTGCCCATTTCCTATGTGCCAAGGACTGAGCTAAGCAGTCACAGCCTTAGCCCTGCAGCAATGCTTTGGAGTAAGAAACAGCAACTTGCCCAGAGTCACACAGATAGTTAATTAGTGACAGGGCTAGGACTTTTCTCCATCAAATGCCAGGTGTATAACCTCAGGCCAGGTACATATCCTCTCTTGCCTCAGTTTCTTTGTCTGTAAACCGGGGATAATAACAGCATTTACCTCATAAGGGTGATTGTGAGAATTAAGTAAGTTAAAGCACACAAAATGTTTGAAGCAGTGTCTGCATATGGTAAATGTCCGCTACTGTTATTATTAGTATCTGGCACTTCCCCTTTTTCATCTGTAAAATGAGGAGGTTGACTCCAACACCTCTAAGGACACCCTAAGTTTACATAATGCTGGATGACCCACTGTGGCTGTGGGCTCAGACAAGATCCTCACCACTGGAAAATGCAGGCCACTGTGTCACTTCCCTTACAGGAAGACTTCTCATATCACAGATGCTAAGGGCTGGAAGTCAAATCCCCTGATTTTGCCCAAGAACCAAAACTAATTTTCTAGAGTCAGCCAGGGCTGTAAAAATGAATGTAACACTGATTTATCATCATTCACCTGTCACTGACTTTGAGAGCCTTTTCCACATGGCATAGCAGGGAACCTTTCCAAATAAACATTCCCCCTCCTGCTGTCCCAGCTACAGGTCATGTCCCTGAATTTCCAGGTAGCCTCTTTGGCTTTCTCATCTAAGGATACTTCAGAAAGTTCATGGAAAGATTCATATGTTTCAGTTCTATTTTTCTATGAACTTATTGAAGTACCTTATATGTGGTGAGGAATGACAAACTGACTCTGTTCTCCAACTCGCTTTTTTCTTCCTATCTTAGAGGAGATCCCACTGCTATGGCTCAGGAAATGTAAGCATGAACTGCAAAAACAGTGGCTGGTAACCTTTTCTAGTAGCAGAATTTAATAACTCTCAGGAAGAATAAGTCTCTAGGTCCCTGCAATGAGCATCCAGCCTGATTTCTGCAGTGCCAGTCACTCCATGCCAGGTATGTTGCATTAGACAGCAGGGAATGTGGTATCAAAAGAGCTGGGTTTGATTCTATGTTCTGCCACTCCCAGGCAGTGTGACCTTGGACAAGTAACTTCACTTCTCTGACAAAGGCTTCCTCATCTGGAAAAAGAGGAACAAGAACCCCTACCTCACAAGGCTTTTAGGTGAGGAGTAAAGGCACCAAAGGAACAGATTTGTCCAAGGTCACCTGGTAAAGTCTAGAACCAAGTCTGTACATCTTGAGCTGGTTTTCCATCTCTCAGCACCTCACTTTTGGGGTAAGAAAGCCACATAGAAGTTTCATTTGACTTTGTGTATCTTTCTCCCCTCCTACTCTCAAGAGAACCCAAAAGAGAAGCTACTGACCTCTTGTAGGTGTAGCCCAAGACGATGCCAGCTCCAATGGCGATGATGATCACCGTCATGGTAATGCCCAGCACATAGCCTGCCAAAGATAGGACACAAGATCCCATTAGCCACACCCCGGACAATCAGCAAATGACATCTCTTGATGGATCCCAACAAGGGCAGGGGTGGGGCAGCCATACCCAGAGTTCCCAGGTCTTTTTTCTCCTTGGAGTTCATCCGCACCCGCTGGCTGATGCCAATAACTGGCTGCACTGCTGCCGCCTCACTCCGGGCGGGCAGGGCGTTGGCAGGAGCGAACACCTGCACCTCATCTTCGCCTGGCCCTTCAGACACCTCCTGGGTTTCTGTGGTGGAAGCTGGCGGCGTGGCCTGGGAAGTGGTCTCTGGAGGTGAGATGGGAAACAGCTCTCATCAGAGGCTACCCTGAGTAAATTCCACAGCTGAACCTGGCCCGAGTGTTGGAGGAGGTGGGGGGGATCCACCTTAGAATACCCCCCCTCCCTCGCCGAAATTAAACTCTGCCCCAGGGGCAAGATCAGGCCTGAGACGGCTGCACCATCCTGGGACAAGGCAAATGTGAGGGGAAGTCCTCAGGGAAGGGGCTCTCTCCTGCCTTTCATGTCTCCATCTCTTCAATTCCTTGCTCTTTCTTCCAAGGCCCAGCTCGGGGGTCATCTTCTCCAGGGGGTCCCCCTACCTCCATTCCAGGAGACAATCCACGACTCCTCGGAGCAGCTCACATTTATCGAGCGCACGCTTTGTGCCAATCCCTGTGTTAAGTGCTCTACCTTGATTATCTCATTTAATCCTAAAAAAACTGTCTTGCTGACTTCGAAGCAACAAGCCTGAGCTCTGGAGTCTAAAATTTGGATTTAAATCTGAACCCTGCCATTGCCTTTTGGTAAATCGCTGAACTTCTCTGACGCTCAGATCCCCCAAACAGCTTCTTCCCAGCGGGGTAGTGTGCCCAGCACACAGCAGACGCTCCACAAACGGTCAATAAATGCTGAGGGGCTCGCTAAGGGCTGAGGGACCGACCTCGCCTCCCATGGTTGTTTACAAGCGCTGGCGGAGGATGATCTCACTCCGAGCCGCGGCGGCGGCCAATGGGCTTTGGGCCCCGCAGCCTGGAGATAGCCCTGGCCAATCGGACGGCGCGGGGGCGGGGCGGGGCCGGCCGGCGTAGCGCGGCCGCACGTGCGTTGCGGGTGTAACGGCCGCTCCCAGTCAGCCCTGGCGCTGGCATCCCGGGGTCCCTGGGTTCCGGGGTTCCGGGGTCCCGGGCGGGTACCTGGGCATCTCAGGTTCTCGCAAGGCCGCTTCTCAGGGGCGCCGGCCTCGCTGTTGACGTAGCACCAGGGCCCGCGCGGGTCCCGGTCCGGGTTCCGGCAGTAGTTGTGGTTGCCGGCGCCTGAGAGGGGAGAGAAGGCGACATGGGCCGGATCCGGCCCGCGGCCGCCGCCCGCCGGCCCTGTCCACCGCCCCCGTCGGACACTTACCCGACTCGGGGGCCAACGCCAGACCGCTCTGCGCGTCCAGCCAGTTAAGGCAGCGGAGGCCCGGCGCGGGCGAGGGCTGGTCCGTCCGGTACAGGTGGCCGTTGTCCCAGAAGCAGTCTGAGGAAGAGGAGCGCCCCTCACTGAGTGGCGGGCAGTGAACCGAAGGGTGCCAAGCGTGGCGGGCAGGGGAACCGGGACCTACCCGGCCCTCCCCCTGCCCTGCTGGGGGGCCCTGGGTCCTGCTGGACCTCCTTCTCCTCGCGTGGAAATCACCCCTCCCTGCCAAGTGTTGTTGTGAGACCCGAAAGAGAAGGGAGAGGAAGCGCTTGTAAAGCTGCTAGCCGGTGCCTGGCCCTCGGTCAGTGCTCAGGGAATGTCAGCTTTTTTTTTTTTTTTTTTTTTTTTTGTAAGCCGGAAAGCGCTGCAAAGTATTGTTACCCTTGGACTTATGGCCACTTTGGAAGGGGATGGAGGGAGGAGGCCTGGCTTAGGTTCCCTTTGTGGAGATGGTGGGAGTTTTGGGTCGGTGGGTGGCCAGACCAGAAATTTATCCATGTGTTGTAATGGCCGTGTTACATAAACTCTGGTGTTCCCTCCTCCGCGGATACAAGCCACCTTCTGCCAGTTTAACAGGCAACACTCCCTCCCAAGAGAATTCTACAAAAGCCTTGATTCAGTCAGCAAAACATTCAAGAGAGCATCAGACCGAAGGGAACCTGCCTCGTCGCTGCCTGGATGTAACTCCAAACTCCCACTCCCCTCAGCAGGAGAGCCACAGGAGGCTGGGGAAGGAAGGCTTGTGCACCATGCAAAGGGCTTAAAAACAACATGACTTAGGGAGTAGTGGAGATGAACACCCAAGCTCCATCCACTCCTGAGCAAGGAAAGGGAAAGAGAAAGTGGCTACTTGCCTTTGTCTTTAATGGCAAAGATGGAGCTGCAAGCCCTTGGCAAAGAAAGGAGGGGGGTTAAAAGAAGCTTTCATAGGACAACAAAAACCAGCTGAAAGCTTCGTTTCCTGTCATCCTGGCCATGTTTGGTAAATAGAGGGCTTTACTCATTCTGCTTCGTTAAGTTGCTGCAGCAAGGAAAAATTGTAATCTCACCTCCAGATCCATAGGCTTCTGCCAGGAGCATGTTGCTGACAAGGAATGTATGTACCCAGGCCAACAGCATCCTCCCCTTCTTCGTCCTGCAGGTTATTGAACAACCAGTGTCCAACGGGGGTCACTTGGCGGCAGCTCTGCCTCGGGTCCCAGCCTTGCAGTCAGACCTGCCCTTGTTATGCTCTTCTGGTAAACAGCCTTTCTTTAGAACTCGGAGCTCCCCAGCTAGCTTGCTGCAACGCGAGGTGTTTTTCTACTGAAAGGCGCCCCCTGGGTCCTAAGCCTCCTATGCCATGCAAGATCATTAACCCTGAGCCAATAGAGGAACAGCTAAGTGAAGAGAGGCAGAGAGATTCAGGTTGTGCTTAGCTGTGGATCAGTTTAAGACTTGCACTGCTGGATCTCCAGGGCTTTTCTTCTCTTCGTTTCCATTTGTGAGTACAGAAAGAATAATTTTGTCAAGAGGCACCATGGGAGGGAACTTATAAGCACTAAGGCACAGAACAGTTTAGGGAAGAAGGAGATGCTAGCTGCACAACCAGGAGGAATTCAAGACCACATAGGGGGCACAAATAAGAGTATCTGGATGGAAGTAAATATATACCCATCCTTGAAAAAGAAAAAAGGCCTTTGTGGTTTATATGTATTTGTAAATGCTAACACTTTTATAAACAGTGTAACTTTGCCAGGGTCAGATCAGTCACATTCCTTTTCTCACATTTGATGTTTGGGGTGTCAGACATAATAGGAATACAGAAGAGGTATCTTTAGTTGAAAATATATGTTGTGCAAACATTGGAAAATTTGCTCAGCTATATTGTAATAGTCTGCCATTTCTACCAGGCCTGAATTCATATACAGAAGGTTAAGTAAAATACTTGCTTTTTTCCCCCTACCCTGTGGGAAATCCATTTGCAGTGATTTATATCCTTCATTAAATCTCATCACATCCATATGGCTTAGGCCTTTTGGAGTTAGAAGGGCCCTCTTCCTGTTTGGCTGAAAGTTCAAGTTCCCAGGCAGCCTCAGTAAGCTGAGAGATAAAGCAGAGTGATTCGCCAAGACTACCTTGTGACTCAGGCAAATCCCAAAATAGAAATGGGAAACTCTGTTTTGATCTTGCAAACAGTAATTTAGGGTAGGAAAAAAATTTATTAAATAAATTTTAAAAACTTTATCAAGGAAGAAAGCTAACATGAATTCAACTAATCTGAAGTGAATTTGAATTCACTACAATCAGGTTTCCGACATGGAAAGGTCAGAGAGATACATTTAGTTCACTCTTTCAGGCAGTTTGCTAACAGTGTTTGCTTCAGTCCATTTAATAAGATATATTATTTTGTTTTTGCAATCACTCTCCTTTCTCCCTACACAAGCTTCTGATCCTCTGATGACTCCTGACTTGGTCTACGCTGGGAATTACACCACAGAGTCTGTAAATTTACTAACACAAACACAGATATGCCAGAATTTTAGAATTTAACAATTCTAACATATAAGGGTCTTTTCATTAACTTTATTAATTATACAATTATTTTTGAGAACCTGTTACATGCTAGATATAGTTCTAGATACTGGAAATACATCTGTGAACAAAATATTTGAAAGCTCTCCCCTCATGGAGCTTATATTCTAGTTGGGAGACAGATGAAAAATGTCAGATAGTACTAAGTGTTATGAAAAAAAGTGGAACAGGGTAAAGGAGAGAGTAGCATAATAGTATTTCACCTGCTAAAGAAAGCTTATATATTTTTTCAGAAAATCAATAGGATATTTCGATAAGCAAAAGGCTGAAAGGGAAATGCTTTTTGCACAATTTTCCTTGTGGGTCCTATGTTTACTTCTACACCACTACAAGAGATATATGATGTGCATTTTGTTTCATTACAGAAAATATGTAGGCTTGAGAAAATGAGAGTAATTTCAGAGTAGCAGGGGGTTCTTTGGGGTTGATCCCTTAGCACCTTACATATTGCCTTTGTATGCAGTGATGTCTAATGAAATGCTTCTTAGACTCTGAAGGGCTGCTTCTGCTAGATTATAATACATTTCCCTCTGATTACGATAGAGACAGACTATAACAGGCCAGCACTTGTACCCTTTTCAAATTATCTACTGTGCCCAATTAGGTGTGCCAGTATTTCTATATCAGAAGCCCAAGGCTTTCTTACCTGTTGCTGTTGTTATCTAATTTTTCTATTTAAGAAAATTACTGTCTTTCCTAACTTACACACCTTGAGATACAGCAAAATCATATTTTGTGCCATGTGTCTTATCAGGAACAACACTGCCTAGAAAAGATATAAAACAAGCCAGAAGGAGATTTTTTCAGCTTAGTCATCTGTTTTTTTCTCCCTTGTAACTAAGACATTTATCAGCATGATTTGATATTTATTTTCCAGCAATGAAGGGCTTGTTCTTCAGTCCTTCAAAGACATTCTATTATAGTAGGTTCAGTACCTTCCTTCCTCAAGGACATCAGAGATGTGCCTGTCTTTTTCTGATGATCCAGATTTGAATTTTGCTTCATGTATTTGGTGCAGTATGGCCATATTTTATGCCCTATAGTTACTCTAAACTTCAGATTTCTTCTGAAAATATTACTGCAATAATAATACAATATAGTACTACTCAAATACTTAGATTGTTTATATCCATGAAGACAACATTGTGACATATAACTCTCACATTTTGCTAAATATTCCAGGGATGTTTTACTCTCAGTTACATATTAAATGAGTACTAATCCAGAGACAAAGCCATACACTTCAATCAGGAAATAGCCTCCAGAGCCTTTCCCAAGAAGGATGGGTAGTTCATTTTGATAACAGGATATGTTAGTGGGAGAACTCTAATAAGGAAGTCCTAAAGCTGTTAAAGACTTAAGAATCCTGTCAGCAAAAGAGGGCCAAGGTGTTGGTAAAAATCTTGGAGTGAGATCTAATGAGTTGGCTCCAACTATTTTGTTTATATGATGTGCTATAGAAATAGCCACTGAAATTGTGCTGAAAGATATTTTAGTGTATAATTGCAAGCAGCCGGGGATGGTTTTATGAAGCTTGTTAAGGAAATAATATTCTAGTCAAAATATCTAAACCCAAAGGCCACTCCTTTGAAAGTACGGCGGCCTTCAATGAGTTATTTTATTTCCATTTTGTATATGCTTGGTAATAGTTAAGTTTTTAAAGTTTGAAATAAAGGGGAAAAATAGAATACTATGTAAGGGAAAAAGAGTCTAAGAAGCCTACAGAGAACAGAATATTTTTAAGGGCAGACAATAAAACAGCAAAGAAGGCTTTGTTGATCACAGATTACTTTTAGAAATGATACATTCCACAGTGGGAACTGAGGAGTCACAAAAGCAGAGAACTTAGAAACATCACATCACTGGTTTTGACAAGTAAAGGGAAGAGTAAATTCCTGAATGAGAGTGGACTTTGACTTACAGGCCAGCCTTAGAAAACATAGCTTTCACATTGATGAAAACATAGTCTTCACAGGGAGAACACCAAAGACTATAAACTTAATTGGTTGATAAAACTAGACTGTTGATATGTAAGGTGAAATAACACAGTAAACTACAATTATGCCTCTGTTGGAAGTGTATTTGGTATTCTCCAATCTCAGTAAACTGGATCTGCAGCTTTTAAAATTTATCAACACCCAGTATGAGCTTACCACTGACTTTTAAAATAGGGGGATAAGTATATCAAATAATTTATGAGTTAAGTCTTTGGAAAGACCTGGATTTTAATCTCAAAATTGCACTATGATCTTAGGTAAGTTACTTAGCATCTGTAATTCCAAACTTTTTTAGCCTATTGTTATTGTGATTTAGAGTACAGGTACCAATGTCAGGATTCAAAACCCAGCTCAGTTGCTTACTAGCTGTGTCATTTTAGACAAGCTCCTAAACCCTCCATAACTCAGTTTCCTCATATGGAGGGACAGAGATAAAAATATTACCAACGTCATTGTATTGTTGATACTCATTGGGCCCTGAATAAATACTAGTTGTTGTTATTAGGAATTTATGCGAGTCACCTCTAAATTAGATGTGCTGGGTATATTTACTATCTTCAAAAAACTCAGAGTTGGGGCCGGCCCGGTGGCGCACTGGATAGTGCGCCGCTTGGGAAGCGCGACGGCGCTCCTGCCCGAGGGTTCGGATCCCACATACAGACCGGTTCCCGCTCACTGGCTGAGCGAGGCGCGGGAGCAGCACCAAGGGTTGCGGTCCCGTTGCCGGTCCCTGGTCCGGTGCGGGGGCAACACTGAGGGTTGCGATCCGTTGCCGGACACGGAAAAAGACAAAAAAAAAAAACAAAAAACTCAGAGTTAATAAAGATCAGATTAACAGACATGAAAATAAAAACAATATAGGGCATTATATAAGTAGGTGTTAAAGAGTGTGATAAGATTAATAAAGATTTATTCATTCAATGAATATTGTCTGCTGTGCACCAGGCAGGCACTAAGCTGAGTACTGAGGATACAACAGTGACCCCTACACAGTTCCTTTTCTCCAGAAGCTCACAGTCTTGTGATAGTAGTACACAGCTAATAACACAGTGAAATGAATGCTACATTCATTTAGTAAGGATTAGTACTGGGAGCAGTGGGAGCTCACAGGAGGAGCATATGGTCTAATCTTAGGAGGTCAGAAAAGGCTTATCAGAAGAAGTAAAATCTGAAGGTGGGAAGGAGCTAGTGTTCTCAGCACATCAAACAATGTGCAGAAGCCTGGAAGTATAAGCTATCATTGTGGCTAGCAGAGCAATCAGAGTTGTATTTAAAATGAGGCCAAAAAAACCCAAACAAACAAACAAAAACAACCAAAAGCATGAAGCCAAAGAGATAAATGCTTGCTGGACAGGTTATAGAGGTTCCTGAATGCCATGTTGAGTGTGGACTTTATCCTCAAGGCAGTAAGGAGCCAGTAAAGAGTTTTACATAAGAGAGTGACAAGAGTCAGATGTATATTTTAGCGAAGATCATTCTGGCCACAGGGTGGAGGATTAGAGGAAGCCGTGACAGAAGGCCAGAAGACCAATAAAAAGGCTGTTGCAATGATCTAAGTGAGAGAGAATAGTGAACTACCCCTAGAACTGAGTCAGGCCACCTGTGTTTGAATTCTCCTCTGACACTTAGTAGCTACATGATCTTTTTTTTTTTTTTTCCTTTTTTTGTCTTTTTTCGTGACCGGCAATGG